TCAAAGCTGTGGTTTTCAAGCTAAATTCAAGGTGGCCTGAGACCAGGTTCAGGCCACCTTGAAAATAAAGGTGTAGTTGGCACCTTGCCAGGTATAGAGACCCAGGGTAGCTGTGTAGCTGTGGTTTTCAAGCTGAATTCAAGGTGGCCTGAGACCACGGTTTGCTGCCCTAAAACACTCTGTTCAGGCCATCTTGAAAATAAAGGTGTAGTTGGCACCTTGCTAGGTATAGAGACCCAGGGTAGCTATAGTGCAGCTACCAGGTATAGTACTTCAAGTTCCCTTTCCGTCAACCGCTCGATAGCCTCTACACACGCACAGCAATCCACAGCTTTGAAGTCTCATTCGTGCTTTGAACTTGTGTAGGTGTGTAAGAGGTATAGCAACATAGTATTTATACGGACCCAGGCTAGCTTCAGAAGAGCACTCCGATACTTCACTTACAGCACTCCTTGAAGAGCATGAGTCGCTTGCGCATAGCCACCAGAAACAAAGGATCTTAGTCTTACTGGAAGTGGAATGAAACACCAGGACCTTCAGAATGACCTCTTTGGAGTCTCCAAGTGACCTCATTCGGGACTAAGTGACTAAGTGACCTCATTCTGGGATCTCGGACGGTCACTTTGAAGGTCCTGGTAGACACCAAATGATGTCAATGTGGATAGATTTGGCTACGGCCTGAAACATCGGATTCCATCCAAACCCCCCCCCTGTGCAGAGGAAAAATCCGGGCAAAATGACACCGAACCCCTCAATTGCCAGGAAGCGCAGGTTTTTGTTTTGACATGGTTACCTCTGTGTGGGCAGAACAAGACATGAAGCAGATTTGACACGCGGCCGCAAGCAGCTGCGCGAGCTCATTTGCTTGCTTCGACGCGCAGTTGTCGAGAAAGGGAAGTCGTATCGAAGAGTACAGCCTTCTAGAGAAACGCGTCCAACAGATTCCAAAAGTACATGTTTTTCTTGCTTTAGTGGTACACATTTTTTAAAATCATTTCTTCTTAGTAGAGAACAGAATCAAAACGTCTCCGAGAGGCAAGTATCGAGACTTGGAGATTGCTAGAGACAAGATGGAAAGCTCAAAGTAGGAGCAGTCCTATTGGAAGGTAAAGCATAACAAAAAACATAATTCAATCACTCAAGATTTCTAGACAGACTATAGTTTCCAGAGCCAGGCAAGCCGGCAAGCACAAGTCGAGATTTCCAGAGAAAAGTATCGACAAGTCTTCGAGTAGACGAGGTTTCTAGAGAGAAACTCCTCAGGTACAGCAGAGAACACAATTGAGAAGTGTAGGTTTGTAGAGACAAGTACCAGCAAGAAGAGAGCTGCACGAAATCTCAAAAAGAAACGTATCGAAAAGAAATTTTTCGGGAGCAGGATCAAAAAAGTGACGCCACACTACAATTCAGCCTACACCTTGCCACATCAAATCAAACCGGGCACTACTACTACTACTACTACGACTACGACTACTACTACTACTACTACTACTACTACTACTACATTTCGCCGCATCACAATCATCACGCTACACTCTTACATCACAAATCACCACACTGCATTGCATCGTGCTACATCACAAACCGCCCCGTTACATTTCAGGCCCCTTTGGTTCAAAGTGCTCTCTTCTTGAGCCTGTGAGCTCAATTAATCCTGTAAAGGGGCGCGCTGCCATCAAGACGGATGGTGCAAACGGAACAGAAACCGACTCTACATCACACATTTCACCGCACGGGATATCAGAAATCCCTACACTACGCCTTGCAATATCACAGACTACCACAAATCACAGCTTGGTTCTCTAACGCATCAAAAACTGCTACGCAGCTTCACAACAACAAGAATCAATATGGCCGTCAAGCATGGCAAGTCCTGTTCTTCACCGAGAAAACAATTCTATAGTCTATAGTGTGTATGTCTTGAAATGTTTTGAGACTGCCGCCCAGCAGTTCAGCTGGAGGCAACCCTCGTATATAGTGGACGTGCATTAATTGGACCTTGCTATTTAACTGTTAATTTAACTTGTAGAATCTCCAAAACAACGTGTGCGTCCAACATATGTTCTACATATATATGGTCAATTTGTTCTCTCATGCTCCTACTCCACAAGCACGAGTTGCTGACCAGACCTTGACTTCAGGATTGATGAGGACATATCCACTATGTGGGTTGGTAATCACTTAGATATCAAGCTTGCCTTCATTGTGCTGTTGTGTCTTGGCAGCAGAACGGGAAGGAATACATCGAAACTAATCTATGTTATTCTATTTTCAATGAGTCTCGATGGACAAGACTTGAGCAGGTTGAACACTTGTTGGGCTTGCTGGCACACCCTGTTCATTTCTAGCGGAGGCTCACTGTAGCAATGACATTGTGGTTCTTGCGTAGCAGCGCAGATTCAGCTGGACAAGGAGTGGAACCCCCAAAGGGCAATTTGAGAAATAGGGATTCTGAAATGCATAGTGTGAAAAGATGGATCAGACTTGTGCTACTGTGAGCCTGTGCGGGGAGGCTCACAAAACCACAGTGATGAGGCGAGGATCAGTTGGAGCGTTGTTACCATGAACAGCAGTTTTCCGTGCTACCCTTGAGGCTGCATGCGGTCGCGGTGTTGTTAAGACCAGCCCGTGGTTTCTTTGGAATGAGCAAATCGAGGCTTCATTCTTCACCTGCTACTTCATTGTCTTTATGGTTTCTTAAGCAGCACTGTGTGTCAGACAAGACAGCCGTTTTTGAAAGCTCTATGCTGTGCTTGCATTTCTAAGGATGCCTTTGGCTTTGGCATTTTTGCTCCTTTTGTTCCTGTTCTAGCCAAAACCTTCGGAATGACAGCACGGAACATTGCAGGCGCGGAACAAAAAGTCACACTAACTCCCGGCATAAAAGGGGGTTTGATATGAAGGACCATGGTTTACAGTGTACAGTGTACAGTGCTTCGTTTACAGTGTACAGTGTTGCCTAAGGGTAATGCTATGCCAGCTCGCAAGGCCTGCTGACCGCCTTCTCCTTTGCACAGGCTCAAATTGCAATTTGTTTTAGGTTTGTTGTTATATTGTTGGAAGGTATTGGGAAAGCGAGCTAAACTCAGTGGGAATAGTAAGAGTCATCTCAACAGGCAGCGCAGCGCATGTGATGTTTGAGGCGTTTAACACGCCGCTCTTTGGGTATTTGTCCGACCGGCTGGGCAGAAGAAAGGCCGAGACGGAAGTTTCCCTTGTATGGCTATGCTGCTATGCATTGCTATGTGGTTCTGTTTGTATATATGCAAAGTGCACTCATGACCTGAGTTTAGATGAAAGGTTTTGGTGTTATGTGTGGATTTGGTCCAAGCGGATTCTATTCTTGACATGCTATTTGGATTCCGGGTCTTAGACCCTGCAACCTGCATTGGGTTTTTGACCACAGCAGCACACACAAGGCTGATCAGCCAAGCTCTGTCTGCACGGGGTACTTGTACATAGAACTAGAACTTGGAGATCTTGAAGTCTTAGTACTTTCCGGACACATTCAATTCTTGACGTGCAAGTTCGGCAGAGGTGCTCTTGCTTGCTGTTGCTGGCGAAGTCACTCGCAGCAATGGGACCTTGACCCTTGCTGTTGTTCCATCACTGGTTTGAACCAGAGCCACTTTGGAGTTTTGCTACAGTGATCCTATATAATCCCTTTTCTCAGCCCAGTCTTTTTCAACTGCGTTGCTGCATAGTCCTGGTAGTACTGAAAGGGAAACATTGAGCCGGCCTTGGCGTTGTGAAACATTGGCTCATGCACACTCTTGAAGCTACAAGTGAGGCCTGCGCGTATGCAACAATGAGCTATGCAAGGACCTAGCATTCAAACATATCAGATCATATCAGCCTTTTTTCCCGAATGCGTATGTTCGCAACCGTTCGCAACCGTCCGCAACCGTCCGCAGACGTCCGCAGTAGAGCGCTAAGGCGCTGCCATTGGGGGAAGCTTTTGCAAGTGACTATGCATGGATGTGTCACGTGTTAGGTTGCGACGCGAGTCCATTGTGATTTGCGTGAAAAGGACATGTCGCGCAAGAAGCGTGATGCATTTCGCTGCACAGGCGCAGCGTTTTGTGAGATCCGCAATTTGCTACGCAGTTCCATTGGGATTAGCGTTTGGAGAGTCGTGTTTTTGGGGTGTTGGATGTGGCCGTGCCATTGGGATTTGCGTTTTCAGGGTGTGGCATCGAAGCTCTGTTTTCGTGACACGTCTCAGCTGAAATGCCGCTTTTGGAATGTGGGAGTGTGCTCAGAACGGGTCGAATTCATTCCAAACGTGTGGTGTGGTGCAAATTTTGTTGAAGCTCACATGAGATGACATTGTTACTTTTCGTGGCAGGCGCAGGACTTTGTGCGGGTTTTGAGGTGTGGAAGTGGGATTTTCGTGGCAGGCGCAGGGAATCGTGAGGTTGCGATGTGTGACGGAGGTGACATTTCGTGACGGGCGCAGTACTTTGCGCGCGTTAGAATCGTTAGACGTGTGGACGCGGAAAGATGCGTGGCCGGTGCAGGGAATCGGGAGGTTGTGAGTTGTGGTAGAGGTGAATGTCGCTGTCACATTGGGATTGGCGTTTGAGCGGGTGTCGTTTGGAGGGACTGGAATCGCGAAACTGCTTGGCAGGGTTGCATGATGTGTATGCTCTGATGGCTGCTGCCGCTGGACTTTTGGAGGAAGTCTCGTACGAAATCCTCGTTTGGCAGACTTTGACATGTGAGTTTTGGAGGAAGCCTCGTACAAAACGCTCGTTTTTGAGACTTGACGCGTGACTTTTGGAGGAAGTCTCGTACGAAGAGTGTCCTACAAGAGTACCCCACAAGAGTTTCCTACAAGAGTGTCCCAGTGTCCCACAAGAGTGTCCCGTATGAGTGTCCCACAAGAGTGTCCCACAAGAGTGTCCCACAAGTGTGTCCACAAGAGTGTCCGACAAGAGTGTCCCATAAGAGTGACCCACAAGAGTGTCCTACTAGAGTGTGCAACAAGAGTGTCCCGTAAGAGTGTCCCACAAGAGTGTCCTACAAGAGTGTCCCACAAGAGTGTCGTACAAGAGTGTCCCGTAAGAGTGTCTCACAACAGTGTCCCACAAGAGTGTCCCGCAACCGTGTCCCACAAGAGTGTCTCACAAGAGTTAAGAGTGTCCCACAAGAGTGTCCTATAAGAGTGTCCCACAAGAGTCCCACAAGAGTGCCCTACAAGAGTGTCCTATAAGAGTGTCCCACAAGAGTGTCCCACAAGAGTGTCCTACAAGAGTATCCCACAAGAGTTTCCTACAAGAGTGTCCCATAAGAGTGTCCTACAAGAGTATCCCACAAGAGTTTCCTACAAGAGTGTCCTATAAGAGTGTCCCACAAGAGTGTCCCACAAGAGTGTCCTACAAGAGTGTCCCACAAGAGTATCCCACAAGAGTGTCCCACAGGAGTGTCCCACAAGAGTGTCCCACAAGAGTTTCCTACAAGAGTCCCACAAGAGTCTCCCACAAGAGTCCCTCACAAGAGTGTCCCACAAGAGTGTCCCGTATGACTGTCCCACAAGAGTGTCCCACAAGTGTGTCGCACAAGAGTGTCCGACAAGAGTGTCCCATAATAGTGACCCACAAGAGTGTCCTACAAGAGTGTGCAACAAGAGTGTCCCACAAGAGTGTCCTACAAGAGTGTCCCACAAGAGTTTCCTACAAGAGTGTCCCACAAGAGTGTCCCACAAGAGTATCCCACAAGAGTGTCCTACAGGAGTGTCCCACAAGAGTGTCCCACAAGAGTTTCCTACAAGAGTGTCCCACAAGAGTCTCCTACAAGAGTCCCTCACAAGAGTGTCCCACAAGAGTGTCCCGTATGACTGTCCCACAAGAGTGTCCCACAAGTGTGTCGCACAAGAGTGTCCGACAAGAGTGTCCCATAATAGTGACCCACAAGAGTGTCCTACAAGAGTGTGCAACAAGAGTGTCCCGTAAGAGTGTCCCACAAGAGTGTCCCGCAACAGTGTTCTACAAGAGTGTCCTACAAGAGTGTCCCACATGAGCTTCCTACAAGAGTGTCCCACAAGAGTGTCCCACAAGAGTGTCCCACAAGAGT